ATTCACAATCCACACCTGAGCAGATTAGCCAAACTATGCAAGTTGATATGCCAGGTGGGGCTACATCATTAGCATTGCCTAAGGGAGATGCCTAACACAGTAACCTTGGGAAAAGTAAGTCCTTTTATCTCCAAAAGAAAAATTAACTCTTAAAACTTTTTTATTTGTGTTGCTAGCACAGAAATTACTCCTAAATGGATGCTCTGTTTCTTCTTGACTTCCTAAATACAATGTTCCAAGCATTACTGAAGCTTGTGTTAATCATGATGTAATGCTATCATTTGTGTGGTATATTTCAGTCTGGGTGTATCATTCATTCTAAGGATATTGATTGTTTTTGTAAATGTCCCCAAATTGTGGTGCTGTTTGAATCCTTATTTCTGTTGTGTTGTTGTTGTAATTGTATTCTTTTTTTCCTTGTGGTTGATCATTGTAAGATCCTCGTCAGATATCCTACAATTACTTCTGACAGTTCAGCAGTACAGAAAATTAGCCCACACTGTTCAGACTTTCCAAAAAGTAGCATCTACATACATTAGTAAGGCACCCTGGTGGCACAGTGGTTAAGTACTCTGCTGCTAACCAAAACATTAGTGGTTCAAGCCCACCAGCTAGCTGTTCCACCAGAGAAAGGTGTGGTAGTCTGCTTCCATATAGATTGACAGCCTTGGAAACCTCATAGGGCAGTTCTACTTTGTCCAATAGGGTCACAATAAGTCGATTCAATGGGCAACAGGATTTTTTGGTTTTATGTAGGTATATCAGTTTAATTCAGAGGAAGATACGGCATAGAAAAATGAAATCTGAGCCAAGAAAAGCTAGAGGGAGAGATACTTAATGTTACATTTTATTCTCTCCAGTCACTTCAGTACCCAGCTCCAAGTTCCTTCTCAATTGGCCATTCTTTTAACAACAAGAACTTAGTGATACAGAGTCCAAAATACAGTTCTGTTAAATATAAAAAGTGTCTCAAACTCACATGATATTACACTGATATATTAACCCTGGTGGAGTAGTGGGTTACATATTGGGCTGCTAATTCCAAAATCAGCAGTTTGAACCTACCAGCTGCTCCACGGAAGAAAGAATTACAGCCTTGGAAACCCAAAAGGGTACTTCTACTCTGTCCTATAGGGTCACTGTGAGTTGAAATTGACACGATAACAGTGAGTTAATTCTGATTTCACAGGAAACCTACAAAAGTCATTGTGGAAGGCTCCCCATTTTCCTTGCCCTACCTTACTCCCATAATTTGTCCAGTATTAAAAAAAGGAAGGAATGTTTACAAACTAATGGATTGAAACTAGTTGGTGCCAAACATTCATTTGGCCCTCTCCCTTGTTTTTTAGTTCATTTTGAAAGCAACTCTTCGCCAGTCATGACAATGTCCCCAGATTTCAGATGAGGAGCTGGCCTGTGATCTCACAGCCACTAGCTGAAATATAGGATTCCTAGAACCATTATATACAGGATTGGTCCACTATCCTCTAAGTCTTCCTGTCCAATCACCACACAGATAGAGAACATAGCAGACTAGTGAGTATAGAACCTGGCCTCTGGTACCAGTCTGCCTCAGTACTAACCCCAGTTTTTGTCATTTGTTAGTCTAACCTTGGACAAGTTTCCTAACTGCCCTGTGCCTTTTTTTTTAACCTGCAAAGTGTCGATAATAATAGTATCAACTTAGGGTACTAGCCTTACTGTGAATAACGTTTAGAATCGTTGACAAGTCTGTAGTAAACCCTCAGTAACTATTGCTTATTATCTTTACAACTATGATACCTCAAATTATTATCAATCCTTAGTGTGTGGATAATCCATCAGCAGTTTGATGATAGTTTAATCAGTTTTTTTCATATAAAAATTCGCAGTTATAGGCTTTGGGTAAGTAATTGGTAAAATTTGGTCACAATGTTTTTAAAGATTTGATTGTTCTCAGTACACCTCGGGCTATGTATTGTCAGCTTATTTTAAAAAATGGACCCCGAGTTGACATCCTCGCTGACCATCCATGTTGGACACACAATCTTGTTTCTAATCATGCCATGGTTCTTGCTCTGAGTGGATAGTTTTTGTTAAGTGTATATGTTTCACAAGTTTTATTTTAGTCAATTGTGTAATCTGTAATATAGTACATTATATACATTAGAGTTTACATTGAAATGTCCAAAAGCTGGTTTGCAATTTTCCCCTTAGTCTTTCATTTGGTACATATCTGGTGATTAACTACCTAAACAACCTAAACATACTTTTCTTGAAGGAATCCTCTGTTCCTCCCTGCGGTGAAAAAGAAAAGTCAACATCCATCTCTGTTGAAAAGTTACCCCGAAATTTTCAAGATTCAGACTATAGAGTAGAGAAGCTGTGGTACCGGGTCCTAGATGCTAACTTGGTGGTTTCAGTGAAGATCTCATCTCCTCAACAACTGTAAGTGAATGCCTTCATGCTGTAGGATAGCATTGCCCAGTGGAAATAAAATAGCAGTCACATAGGCACTCCTAATATGGAGTCCCTGAGTGGTAAACCCACCTAGCAGTGCCTCGGGAGAAAGGCCTTGTGAAAAGTCACAGCCTTTAAACCTACAGAACAGCTTTCCTCGATACTCCTGGGTCACCATCAATTTGAATTGACTGGATGGAAACAGCTTTGGGCTGTTTGTTTAGTAGATATATTAAAAATATCAATAGAAACAGTCATTTAAATATTTTTCACTTAACCTAGTATATCCCAAACATTATCATTTGATCCTATAATCCATATGACACCTTACTAATGAGACGTTATTTTATCATACTGAGATTTAAATCTTTGACATGTATTTCAAATGTGACAAAGCCACTGCCATCAAGTCAATTCTGACTCATAGCACTCTTACTAAGGTTTCTGAGACTGTCAATCTTTACAAGAGTAAATAGCCTCAATCTTCTCCAGCAGAGCAAGTTGGTGGTTTTAAATCGCTGACCTTGCAGTTAGCTGTTCAGCACCCAGCAGGATCTCCTAGGCTCATTTTTCACATGTGCAGCACATCTCAGGTTGGACTAGTCACATTTCTAGTGTTCAGTAGCATCGTGTGGCAAGTGGCTTCTTTGATGCTGTGATGGCTAGCACAGTTTGAGAGGCATCTGTTTCACACAAATGCATTGAAAGAGAAGTTTGCCAAATCTTTGTGATGAATCTTCTTTCAGACACCCAATCAGCTTCTTATTGCACAGGCCCACACTGCAGACCACCCTCCAGCCAGGAGAAATGCCAAGGTAGATGAGCATGCCTGTCTGTCATTTCAGCCCCAGCCCAAACCCAACTCACTGCCATCAGAGTAGAGCTGCTCCTGTGGGTTTCCAAGCTTGTATATCTTTATAAGAGCAGAAAGCCTCATCTTTGTCCCATGGAGCAGCTGGTGGGTTTGAACTGTCAACCTTATATCTAACATAACCTGCTATATCACCAGAGTTCCTAACAAGGGCCTTGAGTTTATGAAAACAGTGAACATAGTCAGGTCAAGTTCCTATTATCTTCAGATAATTAGACATGCCCAGACCTTTCTCACTGGAACATTTAGAGATGAATGACTGAAGTACAAAAGTGAAATGCGGTTAAGTCTTTCCTTCTGAAAATAGATAACAATTTTTCTCTCTCTAATAATGTTCCCTTTTGAGTGTGGTGGGAGGGTCTGCCCTGGCTGTAGTCCAACAGAGAGCTTTCCCCCAACAACATGTGCTGCCCCCAACCCAGAAGTCACTGCATTACAACCACAGCTACACAACCAAAGTGAAGGCAGAGAGTGCCTTGCAATGGTCTGTGCGATGATGCCAGTGTTCTAAAAGGGACTATGTCAGAGTAGCTTAATATAGTAAGGAAGCCCACCTACTTGTTTAGTGGATGCAGAATCATTTTTAGATGTGAATTTATTCTTTGGTTTCAGTGAATGTCTAAGCTATTTTGATGTGGTTAATGATATGTTCTTTTGCCTCAAATGTGATGAGTGATATTAATAATTTTCAGTTGTGAGACCAATTTTGCATTCCTGGAGATAAACCCAAATTTGTCCTGGCCTCTTTGGTTGTGCTGCTGGATTAGGCTTGTCAGCATATGCTGTTTTGCTGGCGTAAACTTGCTTACATTTGCTAAAGGATATTTGTATCTATGTTCATGGGTGAAATTGGCTTGAAATGTTTCTGAATAATACTTGTCTGGCGCTAATACCAGGGCTGTATTTGCTTGCTAATGAGCAACAGGAGGTTCTTTTGTCCAGTTCTGAAACAATTTGTTCAAAATGGGAATAATCTGGTTTTTATATTCATTTGTACTCACCTGGAAAGCAGTGAATACCTGTGATCTATTGTTTTCTCCTCAGGTTTCTGTTTGTATGTTTTAAACACAGTTTTTTCCACAAGGTCTGTAGACTAGATTTCACTGGTTAAATCCTATGATTCTGTTTAACCTGTTGCTCTGTCTCATGTATTTCCTCTAAATTAGTATTAGATTTAAAAGTTGGATCAGATTATGTAATAGTGTGTTATTTTTAAAACAAGAATACATAGTGGATAGTGTCATTATTATCTCAGGGAGCATATAAGATTTTAACATTTTCATTTTGTAATATTAGCAGCTTTTGAACATTGCCTTGTTCTATTTCATGAAACCAAGGGAACTAAACCCGCTGTGACTCATGGTGATAAGGAACTTCTCAAGGATTTGTTGTTGTTAGGTGCCATCCAGTCAGTTCTGACTCATAGCCACCCAATGCACAACAAAACAAAACACTACCTGGTCCTCCACCATCTTCACAATTGTTATGTTTGAACCCATTGTTGCAGCCACTTGTCTGTCAGTCTGTGTGTTGCTGTGATGCTGGAAGCTATGCCTCCATTATTTCAAATACCAGCAGGGTCACCCATGATGGGCAGGTTTCAACAGAGCTTCCAGGCTGAGAACAGACTAAGAAGAAGAAATAATCGGTCTGCTTCCGAAGGATTAGCCACTATGAATAACAGAGGGACACTGTCAGCAATGATTTAGTTATTCTCAAATACAATTTGTAATTTAGAAACCAGAATCTAGACCCAGGAACCACTCACTGCTCCTGGGTGTGGTGATGTTTCAGTCTTTTTTTGGCATAGTAGGAAATAGGCTTTCCTGTTTGTTTTATTTTATTTTTAAGAACTAAAATATAGCCTGAGTCCAGACTGACACTTGCAGTTCAGATTCAAGACTTCAAGGTTCTTACTAAGCATCCTCAATCTTGCATCTCTTTCCTTTCTCTCATGCAGAAAATGACAGTTCTCAGTTGCACCAACATACTTACTCATTTGTGCCTTTATTCCACTATATACATGTAAACTAGAGCCCTATTGGTATAGTGGGATGCTAATTGCACGGTAAACACCAACCCTTTGTAGGAAGAAGATAAGGCTTTCTGCTCCCTGAAGCCCACAGGGGCAATTCTACTCTGTCCTATAGGGTCATTTTGAGTCAGAATCAACTCGATGGCAATGGTTTTGTTTTTTTTAAATGTAATATTCCTGGATTAGCAATACCACTAATGTAATTACTATAAATTATTGAAGATTTTTTTGAGATTCTTTTCCATCCATAGACCCATTGAGTATATATAGTGACCTTACTAGGTGTCAAAGCCCTTGTTTGTAGTTTCCTTGCCTGTTTCTACTTTTGGCAGTGTGGGAGTGTACTGAAAATAAGCCTGTATCCTATTTGCAAAGAGTCCAGGTGGCATAGTGGGTTATCTGTTGGGCTGCTAACTGCAAGGTCAGTAGTTTGAACTTGCCAGCTGCTCTGTGCGAGAAAGAAAAGGCTTTCTACTCTCATAAAGGTTGATAACCTCAGAAATCCACGGAGGCAGTTCTGTTTTGTCCAGTAGGGTCACTATGAGTTGGACCCGACTCCTGGCAATCAGTTTGGATTTTTCAAAAGAGTAATCCTGTTGGCAAATTGCTAGAAATGTAAATCTGGAAAGAATTGCTAAGAGGTGAACAAGATTTTGTATTCAAGGGCATATTTTATTGAGGTAATTTGCAGTTATAAAATTCAATTTTAAATTTACAAGTATTTGCATTCTAAATCCTTACCAGAATGAAGTTTTGGTGTTTTCGTTTTTGTTTTTTACATAATGACTTCTTTTTTTTTTCCTTAATGAAGAAGAGGAAAAAAACAAAACAAAACGGCTACCTCAAAAATAAGATCTAGATATTTTACCATTTCTTTAAAATGGCATGTTCTTGTTTGTATTTTGGGGGTGTTTTTTTGTTTGTTTAAATTGGGGAAATTACTTCCTTGTGGTTGAACATATTTACAATGTTTTTCCTTGCCTATTTTAAGAGATATGCTATTAAAACACACTGCCCTTGAGTTGATTGTGGCTCATTCTGATCCTAGATAGGGTTTCTGAGACAGTAAATCTTTACAAGAACAGACAGCCTCATTATTCTTTAACTACTTAAATCAACTAAGTTATTTTGTTTCATGTGACTAACCTGTTAGTCTCAATCTTATTAGTGAAAACTATAAATAACTTTGCAGTTAGCAGAACAATGACTCACCCTCGGCACCACCAGGGATCCCTCAGGAAAAGAGAGACTGAAAATATATTTTTGTTTACCTGGTATTTAATCTTCTATTTCTCTTGAAAGAATGAGTTTGCAGACTATAACCAAACACTGTGGATTCTTTACAGGTCTCTGAATAATATGACTTTATCACTGTTACTGGATCCAAGTCATGATTCCAAGTTCATCCTGAAGTGTCAAAATAGGGTGATTAAGTTGAGAACAGATCCTGCAATATCAGCAATGTCTATATTCTCTGAAATAAGTTCAAAGGAAAAGAGGTTCAAGTTGACCCATAACAGTAAGGAATACAAAAGCCATGCTTTTCAGTACTCATTCAAGAGAGAGTATCTGCAGACAGTTACTGCCATAACATCTATCCCACCTCTCTTAGCACTGAAAAATTTCTATTGCTTTTTGATACTCCAAATTCAGCAGAGGAAAAATGATCATTCTTTTGTTGATCATTATGTGCCTTGTGGCAGATTTCACATAAATCTGGAAGATACTTCCAGAAGGAAAAACCTAGACACATTTCTAAAGACTTCACCAAAAGGTAATTTCTATTGATACTTTTTAATTATATACTTAATTAAATCTGACATATTTAAGAAACCATTTATTTGATAATGAACAGAATCGAAAGCTGGTGACATATTTTTTTTCTTCTTCTTATAGAAAACCAGGAAGATATTTTAGGACTTCTTGCATCATTATACAGATGCTGTTTTCAAGTCACATCGTCTACCTGTACTTTGACTTCAGTAAAGACCTGGTTGGTAGAACACTTGAAGTGTGAACTGACCAAACAGTTTCCTGACATTTGGTATTGTAAGAGATCAGATTTTTATGGGACACTCTTCCAATGGAAAGACAGAACACCTACGAAAGGAATTTTGATAGTATATTGCAGGTAATACACATCAAATTATAATCAGTCCAGAGAACCTGGTGTGCATAGGTGTGGCGGATGTTTGGTCCATCCTAAGCATTATGATAGCATCCTGTACTGTTGTGGCCATTCAGAATTATTGGCTAGTATGACATAAATGGTCAAGTGTCTTCTTTGAGAAACTGATGATCTCTGTGTTAATTTTATGTTTGCTCTGGGCTCTTTTTTTTTTTTAAGTTGATTCCCAAACCCACTACCAAGTTGGTTCTGACTCATAGTGACCCTGCCCAGGGTTTCTGAGGCGCTACATCTTTATGGATGCAGACAGCTTCAACTTTCTTCCCCCAAATGACTGGTGGGTTTAAACCACCGACCTTGTGGGCCCAACACTTACCCAACAGCATCACCAATGCTTCCTTTAAGGTTGATTAGGACCTAATAATTATATTATAATTTCCTTCGATTTGTCGCTCACTGTAAACATTTTAAAAAATATTGTACTGATCTTTTTATTCCGAGACCATCCAGAAACAATGTGATTAATAATAACTGACTTGGTATAGAATCTGTATATTTTATTGCTACAGCCTAAATTTTGCAAATAATCACATGGTCTATTGGTTCTGTTCATTGCTAGAGGGTTTTCAAATGAATATTAGTTGATTACTATAGTAAGTTGCACATGACTGCTCAGTATTGCCTGATATTTAGTGTGTTTCTTTTTCTTTTCATTTCAGGAATCAAACTGTTTTGCTCCAGTGCCTTCATTATCTTATGAAAGTTCTCCCTACAAACTTTTTTTTAAAAAACATAAAATCAGAAAAGGAGGATATCCTAACTAAACATGTAGCATTAGATTTGGGGAATGAATTGTGTTGCCTTACTAGTTCCCTTTCCTCTGCCTTAAGTGAGGCTGAAAACAACTCCCCACCGGATAGTTCAGGAAGTACAGATAAGAGTGTTGACAATATGGCTTCTTTCTCAGAAAGAAAGGGAGCAGTACTTCAGTATAGAAAAGAAGTTCATAGAGAAAAGGTACAAATGACATCTAACCTAAAAGTGAGTGGTTCTGTTTATAGAAAAATTACTTTAAAAGTAGCCAGGGAACAACTGAAATCAGATATAACTATAAAGAAACTGGACAAGTCACAATTATAATCTAAGTTTGATTATAGGTGTAAAATGTATTTTCACTGCTAGAAAATTTGAGCCGCACTCGTTTTCATGTTACATGTTATACCTCCTTTGCAAAAAATAAAATTTGATGTTATTTATGGTTCAACTTTACTTTCATTAATGCACAAAACGGTATACGTTATATCAGAGCTTCTATCGCCACCTCCTTTGGGCATTTTGGTGAAGTCTGAAGATACTTTTTGTCAGTAGTTGTGAATGTGTGTGCATGTGCTGAAGGTAGCTATTGACATCCAGTGTGACGCTGCTCAACACCCTACTGTGCACGTCAGCCCCTCACAATAAAGAATGACCCAGCCCAAAATGTCATCAAGTGCCAACATGGGCAGAAATATTATAACTCTATTTTGGCCTAAATCTTTTTAGAAAACGTAAGCAGTCTTTTTATTGAATTCTGCTTAGTAAAAACTGGCATATAAAAATCAACTTCAAACAGATACATTTAGCAAGGTTGATAGCATTTACAATTGCTTCTATAAACATCAAGCTTCCAGGGAAATTTAAATGGCAGAGAGCCTGGATGAGGCCATTAAAATGAAAGTGTACGAGAACCTTGTTAATTTTAATTTTGTTAGAAAGCTTTCCTGAAATCATGTAGGTATATGAATGCAATTCTTTGAAAACTTTGGGGCAGTTCTCTAAAAATGATCTTTCAAGAGGCTAAGCATATTTCACAAGCCACTCTTTTTTTCTTCAGAAGTTGAAAATGCCTGTAAGCCATATGAAATTCCAACTCTGGGCTAAGCTAAAATATAAAATTCTAGCTACAAAACTTTTTAAAGAGTATGGCACTCCTTAGGGACTGGGAGATTTAAATGTAAGTGAAAATTCCACTTCAGTTAAGTGATTTATAAAGCTTCCAATGAGAGATATTTCAAAGGGATATAACTTCAACAGTGGCTTTGGGGGTGGGGGTGGGGCATATAAAAATTCTGGACTAATAAGAGCATGTCAGGAGAGAGAGAAAAGACACAAAAGTATGTAGGCCATCTAGAGGCAATGAAAAAAAGTAGATGATGATATTAAGTGACATCTCGTGCTTCCAGCAACAAAGTGCTAATTCTCCCCATGGTTTAGATATGCTTCTACACAATCGTGGTGATATGAATGGTTCTAGATAATATAGGTTATTAGGTTCTTGTCTCTGGTTTTATGATTGTTCATATAACTTCCTTTGACTAATCCATTGCAGATTGTGATAGAACTTCACAGCTCAATCTCTATAAAATGTCAATGGAAAATTTTAAACTTCCTGTAAATAGAAATGCAATGCATTCAGGATTGATTTTTGAAACCTAGAACAGTATTGTCCAGCAAGACAATTGTAGAGACATGAGTTAACACTCCAAGAAAGCCACCGCAGCTAAGTAGCCATTCCCCTTGTTTCTTTCTGCCCAGCTGAATGATAGCCTTTCCTGACACATAGCTGGGGCAGAATAGAGGCACTGGAAAGGCTTCCTGCACCCTCTCCATTATCTTAACTTCCAGTATGTTAGTGGCAAGGTATTAATGGCTTCACTCTTATGTAAAAGGGAACCCCAGATGGCCCCTGAAATGGTTTAATTAATGTTCTCTGTTTTACATCTTTGGGTTCTAATATGCATTGGCTACACTGAATCTTACAAACAAAATTTATGATTAGAAGGGTTAGTAATAAACCTAACAAGTTGTAATGCCACAGAGAAATTCTCAAGGTAGTTGTTTACCAGGACATGTTACAAAGTTTTAAGTCTGATAATAAATTTCCAGAGTGCATACCACTCTACTGTAAGCCTCAGCCCAAAGGTATTCATCTCAAGCTCAATGGGTCAGCAATCCCAGATCCCTGAATTAAGTACTCAGAGGCTCCCCACTCTAATAGTCCACAGTCCTATAGGAACTCATCTCCATTTCTGTGGGTCAGCAAGCCAGCCCAACTTCCTGAATTAAGTGCCCAGAGGCACCCCACTCTTCAAGCCAACCTTCTGCACAAAAGCACTCAACTTGCTCCATGGGCTGGGAAGTCCATCATTCCTCCATACTCTGGCTCCTGGTTCTGTTGCTGCTCCTCTGATGGTATAGCTGTCATGTAGGTCCAGGAGGTTCATTGCACACTCCTGGCTCTTGCTGGTAATGAGATCTCTACTCCTGCTTTTCAGAGGGCTTGTTTTATAGACACGGATGCACTCCAGGGAATTCTAGTAGTAATTACAAGTGAATTCTATCAATATCTTCTCTCTCCTCAAATCCATGGAGGAAAAGGTCATTTGGTGGGAATTAGAGACTTTGGCTTGGAAGAGCCACATTAAATTATACACTATCCCTGCAGTCTCACATGCTTTGGACATGTTATTAGGAGAGACTAGTCTCTGGATAAGGCTATCATGCTTGGTGAAATAGCAAAAAAAGAGACTTTCAACGAGATCAATGACACAGTGACTGTAACAATGGGCTCAAACAGCGGTGGTTGTGAAGATGGCATAGGACCAGGCAATGTTTTACTCTGTGGTGCATAGGGTCAGTATAAACTAAAACCCACTCCAAGGTGTCCAGCAACACCAGAAACAGTATATAGCATGTGCTATCAATTGAAATTGTCCTTAGTATATTCTGAAAGAACAACCAGAAATAAATTATAAAAATAAATTCTATAATGGCAACTGTCTAAAGAAAACTTCTAACTAGGGATAATTAAAATAGTTTATCTGAGGAAATTTGGATATTAAAAACTAGCATATAATTTAAAATTTGTATTTATAAATATAATAAAAATTCTGATACTAAATTTCATATATATGCCTAATAACTCTTTACAAATCAGTTTTATACTCCAGTGTAGTTTTAAATTTTGTTGAGAATATCATACCAAAATATGCCAATTCATCTTTTGTACATGTATAATTCAAAAACAATGATTATATTCTCTGAATGTTTTAACCATTCTCATCCTCATTTTCTGGGCTCTTCCTCCCAAATTAACATCCACTGCCCCTTAGGGTTCCTATCTACACTTTTGAGTTGCTACTGTCAATCTAATCACATATAGTTCTTAAAAGAGCACAATGCTCAAAACAGACATGTTTTACAAGTTAAGCCACCTATTATTTAATAAAATTTGGTTTTTAAAAAAGGGGTATATTTTTGGCTTAAGGTTTAAAGATTACCTGGAGACTATAATTTCAGGGATTCATCCAGCCTTCATAGCTTCAGAAAATCTAGAGTTCACGGGAATTTTAAAATTTGTTGTACATTTTCCCCCCTCTATGATCTGACTTTTTATACAGAATCACTAAGAAAAATGTTCAGTAATAATAGCCAGGTACTATCTACTTGTAGTCTCATGTCAAAGGTAGTAATTGTTCATGAAGGCAATCAGCCACATATTCCATACCCTCCTATTGCTGCAGTGCTTTGGATGGCCACATGCAAGCTTTTAAGATCCTAGGCACTATTGCGTCAAACTAGGAGGCAGAATGGAAGTACTAAACACTCTATTAGGCTTAATGTCAGCGGTGTCCATGAAACCATGACCTTAAACCTCCAATGCAAGGATGAAGCATCTGGTTATACATAAGCAGCCTCAGCCGCTATTTTTATTGTCATTGTAAAATATATCAAAAAACTTTTGCCAATTCAGCTCTACAGATGTAGATTTTATTGACACCACTTAGAATACTTGACTGTGCTACCCTAGTTTGGGTTCTCTAGAGAAGCAAAACCAATGTGTGTGTGTGTGTAGAGAGAGAGAGAGAGTGACAGCAAGTGAGCTTTATACCAAGAAATGGCTCACACAATTGTAGAAATGGGTAAGTCCAGTCTAGTTCAAGTCTGTGGGCCAGCTTCTGAGTCACATAACTGCAATGGGGCTGACAAACAGGAAGCAGGAAAATGAAGACCACAGGCTGGCAGATGCAGAGCTGAATGAATCCAAACTAGGCCAGATTAATCCAAGGTTGGCAGTCTCCTGATGGATCTTGGGATCAGCAAGTGATATAACATATCCAAGATCCAGTAGAAGTGAGCTAGCTTCTTCACACCTATACTAAAAGTAGGTTACAACCTGAAGGAAACCTCCCAGATGAAAGAGTTGGTACTTGTGTTAGTCTGGTAGACTAGAGAAACAAATCCATAGAAACTTTCATGTGTCTAAGAGAGAGTTTTATATAAAGGGTAATTGTACATTAAGAAAGCATCCCAACCCAGTCCAGTCTAAGCCCATAAGTCCAATATTAGCCCATATGTCTGCTACCAATCTACAAAGCCCTCTTCAGACTCACAAAACACATGCAATGACACTGAAGGCAGGATGATCACAGGCCAGTGGGTCAAAAGTCTTTGGCTCCAGTGGCGTTCGTTGTAAGCATCTCAGCACTGGAAGGGGTCTCTACATGGCTTCTCCGGCTTCAGAGTTCTGGTTGCATCAAGGTAGGTCCACGTGGCTTCTCCAGCTCAGGGCACTAGCGTAGTTCCATGTGTCTTGTCAGCTGCAACGTCTCCCAGGGAGTGAGCAGAGAGAGAGTCTCTCCTACCTCCAAGAAAGAAATCCAGGAGTTCCCAGAATTCTCAGGATAAGGCCATGCCCACACAAAGGCCTCATTGGCTATGACCTCATTGACAGGGTAGACACCACCCTTTCAGTCTTAATCCTCTCAAGTCCCAAATTGACACCAGATTATGTAACTACCACAGTACTGTACCCTCTTGCCTCAACTGCTTGGCTGCTTCACAGAAGACCCCATCATGAAGTTGACCACACTACGTGAGATCATAACATGGGAGAATCCTGGCTCACTCAAATTGACATAAAACCTAATGCTCCATAAGCAATAAACTCCTCTTTCCCTTCCTTTCCATCCTTGGTAACCACTAACTAAATTTGGTCTCCACACATTTTTTTCTTATCTTTTTATGTACTTCGGGCCATACAATATTTGTCCTTTTGTGATCAACTTATTTCACTCAACCTGTCTTCAAGCTCCATATTATATCTAGAATGAATTTCTCCTACTGAACACTATTTCATTGTCTTGCATTTTATCTGTTCATTGTTTGGTGGGCA